GAGAGAGAGAGAAGCAAGTTTTTGTGTTATGGTTTGATTTGGGGGATTGTGTTGTTTTTGAGGTTTTTGTTGGGAGAGGGTTTTGATAGTTGTGGGTGTATGGGGTTTGGTTTTGATTTTTGGGGGGTTTTTTTTGGGGGGTTTGGGGTGTTTTTGTATTTTTTGATTTTTTTTTGTGATTTTGGGAGGGTTTTTTGTGTATGATTTTATTTGTGTGTTGATTTTGTTTGAGTATATGTTGTTTTTTTTATTTTTGGATGTGTTTTTTTCTTGGGGAGAGGTGTTTGTTTTGGGAGACGAGGAGGATGGGTGAGATATGGAGATTTGTAGTATGTGTGGTAGAGAGAGAGAGAGTTTTGAGATTGGTTTATGATGTTTGGAGAATTTGTATGATGAGAGAGTTTTTTTTGTATGTGATACTGATTGTAGAGAGTGTGAGTATTGTTATTGAGAGTTGTATTTATGTTTGAGAGAGTTATGATTCTTGTGGAGAGAGTGAGTGAGTGGATACGTGATGTGTTAAAGTGACGTAGATGGAGAGGTGTGTGTTGTAGATAGAGAAAGAGAGAAGAGAGAGAGGGACTTATGGAGAGAGAGAAGAGGGAGGAGGAGGGAGGGAGGGAGGGAGGGAGGGAGTGGAGAAGAGGAGGAGAGAGAGAGAGAGAGAGAGAGGAGAGAGAGGAGAGAGAGGAGATGAGAGAAGAGAGAGAGAGAGAGAGAGAGAGAGAGAGGAGAGTGAGGGGAGAGAAGAGAGAGAGAGAGGAGAGAGAGAGAGAGAGAGAGAGAGAGAGAGAGAGAGTAGAGAGAGTGAGTGAGTGAGTTGAGGAGGAGAGGAGGAGGAGAGAGAGAGAGGAGAGAAGAGAAGAGAAGAGAGAGGAGAGAGAGGAGACAGAGTGAGTGAGGGAGTGAGAGGGTGTGTGTGTAGAGAGGAGAGAGAGAGAGAGAGAGAGAGAGAGAGAGAGGAGAGGAGAGGAGAGAGAGAGAGAGAAAGAGAGAGAGAGAGAGAGATGAGGAGAAAGAGAGAGGGAGAGAGAGAGAGAGAGAGAGAGAGAGAGAGAGAGGAGAGAGAGAGAGAGAGAGAGAGAGAGAAGAGAGAGAGAGAGAGAGAGAGAGAGAGAGAGAGAGAGAGAGAGAGAGAAGAGAGAGAGAAAGTGAGAGAGAGAGAGAGAGAGAGAGAGAGAGAGAGAGAGGAGAGAGAGAGAGAGAGAGAGAGAGAGAGAGAGAAAGAGGAGAGAGTTAACATGATAATCATAAAAAAAAGAAAAATATCACATTAATATTGCAAAAACCGTGATATAACCCGTTAGTAAAGAATCAAATCAGTAAAGTGACAAACAACACACTATCACGATTAGAATGAATGAAAAATATAAATCGATGACACAAAAAAAGAAAATCGAAACCCCGCACCAGCATATGTGATAGAAGATCCATTTTTTTTGATACAATGAAAATGCAACATGAAATAGATCCACGTTGACGGGTCAGGAAGGAAAATCACTTCACTTGACCTGGAATCCCACGGCTCTCCCGCCCCGGATTTCCTCCCAAGCAACACTGGACACTCGTCAAGGCGGACATCATGAGGTGAGGGTCTTCTTGAGAGGGTTCGGCAAGGGCGGCCTCGGGGAGCACTGACCTGTCGGCGATGGATCCCCAGAACGGAGCCGCGATGAACTCGACGAAGGGCCGGATGCCGATGAGGAAGCCGGTCTGGAGGGGGTTCATGCCCATTTGCTTGAAGTACACGGCCATGAGCGGGAAGAGCGAGCCGAAGGCGGAGAAGAAGAAGAAGTAGAACGTCTTGGCGAAGAGGAGCTCCTGGTTGACGTTGTTGCAGAACATGTCGATGAGGTCGGAGCGGCCGCGGATTTTGTGGGTCGATTCCTTCGGCTCGGGGTAGGCGGTGGGGTCGACCTCGCCGTGGGCCTCGGGGTCCACGAAGGGCCTCGAAGCGACCCCGGCCACAGGGGGAGCACCCCCGACCCTCATGCCCCCTTGCTGCTGCTGGGCAGGGTCTATGTAGAACTGCCCTTGCTGCTGCTGCTGCTGCTGCTGCTCCATGCTGTAGCCCTGGTAATTGTCGTTCCTGACGGACTCCATCTTGGCTTGGTGCCGCGGAGGCGGTTCCCGATCGGATAGTCCAACGAGTCCGGTCGCTGCTTCTCCGGAATTACGTCAATGAGCTTAAAAAGAGAGATTCAGGCACACATAGGCCCTCGAGGAGGGTTCTCCGAGCACTCGGTCGATACCACCTCGGTTGATGGAGATGGTCTGGGGCTCCTTCCTGCCTTGGCTCACCACGCCCTCCCCCTCCACGGCATCGCCCGAAGCCCTTTCCTAAAATCCGCCGAAGGACTCGCGCACAAAGACACACCGAGGGCCAGCGTCAGCATGAACCCCTTTGACAAGTGCAGAGACAGAGGCCGCGCGCCTGTGACTCTCCGCGAAGCCGACCACTACAGCCCCGTGCGCACGCGCCGGCGCCCAACTATGAGCT